AAAAAAAAAAAAAAAAAAAAAAAAAAAAAAAAAAAAAAAAAACCAGATAAAAACCAGATAAAAATGGACCTTAACAAGATAATCCAAGAAAGTACGGAGTTTTAGTTAGTAACTTTCAAGCAAATGGACAAAACCTGGACTTCATGAAAGAAAAGAATTGAACACCGCTACCTAACCCAAGCCATATATAAATTACACTAAGACAATTTCCTTTTAGATCTACCAACATTTTACATTTCCATAATTATGACATCTCATGATAGAATCACTGCTGCATTTTGAATATCATATCTGAGATAGAAGAAACAGGAGTCCAATAAATAGTCCTCTGCACGGACAGTAATCACAATAATCTGAGGTTTCAAAAAGTGTGACTGCACATATTCCTCCGATATCCTATCCCACAAAAGCTTTCACCCTTGAACATCTCAATCTGGGGAAATAATTATTCCACAACAGAAATCTAATGACTGGGCTAGATTCCTCAAGGATAACAAATATTCAATCGTAGTATATAAAATTTCAGCATCTCCAAAGACATTACTAATGGATGTGGAAGAAAAAATTACCGTCTCCGTGGACTACGACTTCTAGACCTGTGTCTTGACTTTGGAAATGGTTCGCTGATTTTTCCTTTCTGACTAAAAACATATTTTGACATAGAAACAACACCCATTAGTAGCAAAACAAATATATCTGAAGTGAAAAGAGCCCAAGCATGAGGGAAAAGAGTAAAAGCACTACTTCATGACTCACATCTTTTCAGCATTTGGACCATATTTAGCAAACTGGACAGTTATCTCTCGTCCATCAACCACAGTGCCTGGAACACAACATAGAATATATACGTATTTCAGTTTCCAATTCATATTCAGCAGGTTAACTCCCTAAACCAAACACATTGAACTTGTCGAATGGAGGAGAGTAGAGGCATGACTATAAGTCAACCAGAACTAACAAAGAAGTGAGGGAATCAATTTCAGAACTTCTTGAAATTATAGACCCAAAATGATGTTAATAACGCCCAAAAGGTTATCTGCCTTCTATCCTCAAACATCATCCTTGTAGCTTGTGAGTATGTACAAATCACTTCCACTTGGAGAGGACAAGGACAAAATCAAACAACATGAGACAAAGTGGCGGGGGTACCATCTAGCCTGTCCACTGCTTTCTGAGCTTCATCTGCGTACTTGTAACGCACAAATGCAAAACCTCTAGAATCACCAGTCCTAGCCCACAAAACAACATAAGAGACAATCACGAAACAGTCAAAACGAAAGTAATCAATTCCCAATTCTAAAATTTTAAAATAAATAAACAAACAAAAAAAAATGAAATATAAAAATAAAAAACCCCATGCAGCATTTAAGCTGAATGAAGAGTACAATTCCATTCACGTGCAAACTGATGTCACAAAAACTAGAAGAATATCAATGAAAGGAAATCAACTCAATCCTAAACCTCTAAATGTTTAATCTAACAAACACAAAACTCATGCCAGCTATTAAAAATTCTATCATTTCTAACAGAAATCAAACAAATTCCAGAGGATAAAATCATTAAAAAAGAAAAAAGAAAAAAAGGGTAATCAATCGCAACAAAGCAGGGAACTATACCTTCGATCTCTGGGGATGAAGATATCGACAACCTTACCATACTTGTGGAAAAGCGGGTAGAGGTCATCAGCAGTGGTGCCTAAAAACACATAAAATCTCAGTCACAGCTAAGAATCAAGAAACAAAACCAAAACAAAAAAAAGAAACAAAAAGAATTAAGAAAGAGAGGGAGATTGAAGCATACGGAAGGTGATGTTGAGCACGAGAAGCGAGTAGGTGTCTGTAATATCTGGAGGACCTGACCTTCCAAAATGAGACATTTTTGTAGGACGATGAAGATTAGGGTTAGGGTTAGGGTTCCAGAGAATAGAAGAAGAGAGATCCGTCGAGTGAACTATCCGGAAGAGCCGAGGAAGAAGAATATTAATATACAGAGAGGGGCAGATAAGTAAATATCACTATTTCTTAATTGCCCCTCTATTACTCCTTATTTACGTTCTCGTTTTTTTTTTTTTTTTTTTTTTTTTTTTTTTTTTTTTTTTTTTTTTTTTTTTTTTT